GCATGCGTGAACGATACGCCACTTGCCGTTCGGCTTCCGGACACAAAACGTGGGTGTCGAATGGCAAGACTTGCTCTCACGCACACCACTCCTGCGTCGTGCTTCGCTCAGAGGAAGGCGTCAATGACATCACACTGCTCTTTGGGCAGGTGCCACTGGCGTGTTACGCAGTTTTCGGCTCTCGAAACCAAGGCGATCTCATGACGCACACTCGGTTCAGAGGGATAACCGACGGCGGGTCTTTGGATGTCTTGAGATTCCTTTAACCCAGGATAGTACGGGTTCGAGGTCTACTTCAAGATCGACGATTCCCTTCGTGCGTTCAGCACCCTCTTGGTGTCCTCCAAGACGGCTTCATCCCGAAGCAAGGATAAATTGATCTCCTCGTTTGGTCATATAATGACCACCTCGTCTGAATCGGAAGAGCATCCACTGCAGAAATAGCTTCGAGGTTGACGTCGTCGTCATCCTCCCCCGTCATACCGTGGACGAGGGTGTATATCTGTGCGTTATGGTCTACGGTATAGACACCCTGGATCAAGGTCGGCGCCCTGCATCTTGCAGATAACATACGGCATCGCCATCTCCTCTCTGTAGAGGTTTTACGTCTTATCTCGACCAGTGGGAACTCACTCCGCGTCGTCCATTGTCCCCAGTCCCTGCTCAATCGGAGCCTTGATGTTATTTACAACATCCGACGAAGAGCTGCTCTTCCAGCAGTCTTCGTCTAGTGGATAACATGCCACTACACCCGCAACAGATGTGTGCACAAGGTCTCCGACCTTCAATCAATCGATGGCTCATGGTGTTCCAACCATGCCATATAAAGGATAAGGTCACACCTTGAATTTAAGCCTAAGACTTAACAGCGCTGATACGCTTAACCCCGTTACAGGGGGCCTAAAGGTGTCTAAACACGAGCCTCGTACAAGGCGACGGTTAAACGAGAGCTGTAGGTTTTCACAATTTTGATGCGGGAGATTGTAACGGGGTTACACGTATCCCTGGTATACAGTGGTGGGTCACACACGATGGCGTGACCACACGATGGTGTGGTATATCTTAACAAGAAGCCACTACTTGGCGGGATGCGATCCGCTGCACTCAGACTGGTTCTAGTATGAAACGTATGGTCGGTGACCTTAGCTTAGGCTCCTCTAAGCAAAGAGCTGCGGTAGCCCCGCTGCAATAAATGCATACAATTCGTGCAGTCAGTACAATTCAGCATAAATTCTGCAGCATTAGCTGCTTTATTTAAACCCAATGACAAAATCTAATCTGCTTTGATTATTTTTTTCGCTTTTTTAAAACTAACTTCTAGATTAATCTTAAGAACCTAAAAGAAATCTCAATAGAAAATGGGAGAGGAAAGTAACTAAGTACAAAAGATAGCAAGAGATCTTAAAGTTGAAGATATACTTCTAATTATAGCCAATCATAAAATGTTAATAGATCTTTCTACAAGATGTCTCATTATCGCTTTCGCAATGATAGCGCCGGACGTGGAACCTGAACTAGGAGAGAGCTTGCTACTGGATCAATTACATGATTTACACCGGCAATTAGCAGCTGTGCGTCATGACTCTCAGCGCCACACATCGTCATCTCGCAATCTTGGGCCGATCCCTATGGCCAATGACTCTGGAAAGATCATTGTATGTTCACTGCGCCGTTGCGTGCGGATGCTTAAAACAGAGCGTGGCGACAGTTGGCAATACGTTGCATCGAATTCTGGACTTAAAAGCGCAATTGAACATCTTGGACAGGGTAATACAGTGCGGTGGGTCTCGTGGCCAGGTGCGATCGTGGACGAGTCGAGTGAGGACGGAGTGCGTCGCCGTCTCGAGACGGAATTTGCTTGCCATCCAGTTTTTTTGAACCACGAAACATTGGATTTATACCAAAACCAATTTTGTGATGTGGTACTCTGGCCTTTATTTCACTCGCTACCGCAGCGCTCAGACACCCGTCTGCTTGAGAATTTTGGTGAGAAATACGACGCTTACTGCTCAGCCAATCAAAAGTTTCTGGAGGCTGTGTCCGAAATTTACAAAGATGGCGATCTTGTGCTTGTGTGTGACTATCAACTCATGACATTGCCAGGATTGTTGCGTCGACGGTTTCCGGAAATTACGTGTGGCTTTTATTTTCATTGTCCCTTTCCGTCGTCTGAGTTTTTTCAAATGCTACCAGTTCGTGACGCGTTGCTTCACGGAGTTTTGGGTGCTGATCTTGTGGTATTTGATCATTTTGATTATGTGCGTCACTTTTTAAGCGTTTGTACGCGCATGTTCGGACTCGAGTCGTCGCCAAGTCGCGTCGAGTACAATGGGCGTCTAATTTCATTGGGTATTTGTCCTATGGGTATTGATCCTGTCAAATATACGTTGACCTCAAAAGCAGAGGTCTACGTTGATATGGTTAAGAAACAACAAGATGGCATGAAAATTATTTTAGGTGTAAACAAACTTGACTTTTGCAAAGGAATACCAGAAATGCTTGAAGCAATGGAGTATCTCTTGCAGCATTACCCAGAATACCGTGGGAAAGTGGTGTTGTATGCTGTTGTTCGGGATGCAGGACGTATAGCTTCTTTACAATATCGAATGCTTAGTCGTCAAATCGATGAGCTAGTTGGTCGTGTGAATGGACGATTTGGAACCGCGGAATATTGTCCTGTTCACTATCTCAAGCACTCGATTGATCGCGCTCAGCTTGTGGCACTTTATAATTGTGCTGACGTGGCCATCGTTAGCAGCATCAAGGAAGGGATTAATTTGCAGGCTATGGAATTTATTGCTGCTCAAAAGAAGAGCTGCCATGGAGTCCTAGTCTACAGCGAATTTGCTGGGTAATGTCGAGTCTCTTTTGGTTCTTTTGTACGGCATATGAAGAATATTTTTTTTTCTGCAGGTGTGCGTCATCCTTTCAAGGTGCACTGTTGGTAAACCCGTTGCACATTGAGCAGGTTGCGGCAAGCATGGATACGGCGCTGCGTATGAATACCACTACGAAACGTATTCGACACCACCAATTGTCGCGCTATGTGAACACGTACACGTCAGCACTGTGGGCTAAACGGATCATGTCAGCTCTGAATGAGGTAGGCACGGCTAAAACAAGCTACTTTTCACCAATCTGCAGTTTTTAACAGCATTCGGCAACAGGCAGCGGCCACTGCGCAAGAGTACAATCGTCTAGATAAACTCGATACCGCTCAACTGCTGGGGTATTACGAACGAAGCCAGCGACGTCTATTTTTGCTGGACTACGATGGAACCCTTGTGAATTTTCAGAGTATGGAGGAGCTAGCTGAACCTTCGCCAGGATTAATGTCGTGCCTTGAAGATCTGACTGCCGACCCCAATAATACTGTCTATATCATCAGTGGCAGGAACAAAAATCGTTTGCAGGTACTATTTGATTTTGATTGAAAAATATTTGGAACTTCTAAAAGTCTGTAAATCGCCTGACAGGAATGGTTTGGTCACTTAACGCGAGTAGGACTCGCTGCAGAGCATGGATATTGGTTTCGTCCCGCTTCAAAACATCCATCCGCAGTTTATGCAGATGCGAAGAGTGATACGTATGGGAGTGAAGACTCACCGCACGCAGCAGAAGTTCACCCTGTTACGCTCGTCGGTGAAGACGATCCACTGTCATCTTCATCTATCAAGGTGGGAGGAATCGAGAATGAGCTAGTGACTTTTGAAAGAGCTCCATGGCAATGCATGTTCAGTGACGTTGAACTAGAATGGCGTGATGAAGTCGAAAGTATTTTGGAACACTTTACGGAGCGAACTCCTGGTTCCCTCTTGGATGTGAAAGATTGCTGCTACACATGGCACTTTCGGGACGCTGACCCTATCTTTGGACTGAAGCAAGCAAAAGACATGCAGCTTCATTTTGACCAAATGCTACGTGATTTGCCGGTTGGAGTGATAATGTGTCGAATCAAGAAATACATCATGATTCGACCATGGCGTGTGAACAAGGGACGCGCTGTAAGTCGTATTCTGGAGTACGAAAGTGAGACACCGTACTTCACAGCACTAGACTTTGATTTCATCCTTGCTCTTGGCGATGAACGCACAGATGAAGACATGTTTGACGTCGTCCAGGGAAGCAACTGCTATACGTGCACCGTGGGCAAAAAAATCAGTCGCGCACAGTATTACCTCGAGGACCCGGACGAAGTTCTTCGCGTGCTGACTGCATGTACGAGCTATATGGCGACTGAAAGACAAGCACTCCAGGGATGAGGACAAATTATGGATTTATTCCTGTACTGCTTCACTTTTTCATATTGCTTCAAGCATACAATTATCATTTCATGTATCAAAAACTAACAACTTATCAAAAGACAATTCCTCCATTTCCACTTATTACATACTCTTGCACAGTAAGAATAGAATGAAAACGGGAATAAAGTGCTCGTGTAGAACAAAACGATCGGCGTGGTGTCAGACGCTTTTCATCAGATGCCTACACATCTCATTAGTGCTGAAATTACTTAACAATTAAAGATAAGACAACTTTCGTTAGAGGTATCGACAAATGTTGTTGAGTTGCCTATGACTTCTTCCTACTTTATTTCCATAAGGATTGGATGCATAGCTAGCAAAAGTGCATAATTTCAACTAAGTATATCTTTGGTTATGTTGACCCCTTGTGCTGTAAATCACACATATGTGGCTTTCTACTTCTATCTCTTGCATTATCACCTTCATATTGATCTTTACTTTATGCTTAAAAAGTAAACTTTCTCTTGTCTTTGGACGTAATATATTGTGACAATAAAAGAAACTGACCCGTAATCAAAATATGATTATCGCTACCAATGGAGATGAATGTTTGAAGCAGGCGAGGCTGGAGTGATAAAAAGAGATATTACGATATACAAAATACGCTACAAAAAAACTCTACGAAAGCTACATTGCAGCAACTAAGGCGCTACTTATGGAACAGTTGGCCTGAACTGTATGATTTTCTAGACAGGAGAAAACTTCCTTAAAAAGGTCCTTTAGAACAAAGATGATTCAATGACAAGCCATGTTCCGCCTTAATATAATTGTGAAAGGCGACTGAAAGAAAGCGTCATGAGAAATGTCTCACGTTTAGAAAAAGTCCTTCCTGAACTCCGTGGTTGGTAGCTATAGGTGGATACGATATCTGTACTAGAAATAACTGAACTTACTTGGTTTCGAGCGGGCTATTTGGAGAGTCAGGAAAATCCTTGTAGCCAGTCCAGCCGCAGTGCGCACCTAGACCTACTTATGCTACATATTCTACTGTTAGTATTAGCAGGTTGTTCTGCTGCTGATTTGCCTGGCAGGCATCCATTTACTTTTGCTAGGGACGAAGCATAGTTGTGTAGAGAACAGTACACTCACATATGTTGGGAATTGTATGCATACAATGATCAATCATAGAAAGGTGCTTATTGGAGCATAAAATGATACATACTGCTATTTTTATGCCGTGCTTTAGACCCTAATTACTCCAGCATCATACTAATCTGCTCAACCTCTTGATAAAAATAGGATAAAGTGATGTGGTCAACGCCGTTCTCTCACGAATTTCCATTTCTGTCTCCTTGCGTCCTCGCTATCTTAAGCTTCTCGAGCAAGGTAAACAACCCAATCGTGAATAGTCCGCCAGCCTCGCTAACCATCACTCTCCAATATTCATCCAGCCTTAATTTAAGATGATGAACACAACAAGCGTGGTCATCAACACGGACAGCGTGGGCGGAAACATGGCACCCGTCGCACCGCCTAAACGCAACTTTATTCAAAAAGTGAACGACGTGAACAAAATGGAGCTACCAAAGCTGTTGCGTTATATGCGGCTGGGGAACGTGGGATGCTCGATCATTCAGATTATCGCTGGCATCGTTGGGATTACATCTTTTATCACGCTTAACATTACTGGCACGCTTGTGAGCATCTACGTCATTATGTTTGGCATATTATTTCTGCTTTTTGAGTGTCGCCTTTCCCGTATGGAGACTGCCATTCGCTCGAATTTCGGATTTCTGTATAGCTACAAGGGACGTGCTGCATTTATCTTCTTCATCGGGTTTCTAGACTTCGGCATTGGATCAGCCTTAGCCACTATTGCTGGTGTCCTCATGTGCTTTAATGCGTTTATCAATCTCCTCGTCATGTGTCGTCATCCAGAGTTTAAGTCGACACTTAGCGCCGATGCAGACCCTACAGCCGGCTATACTACGAGCAGCCAGGAAGCTGCAAGCTTTATGAGCAAAAATCCTGAACTTGCAGCTAAGGCCGGACAGTATGCATTTCAGCATGCCGCTAATACTCGTCACTAAGCTGTTGAAGTTACGAACCGAGTGGCAAGCAAGCCGATTTTGGCTATTGCAATATTTTAATTGACTTCAGCTTTTTAGTGCCATTGCAATATTCATAATTTGTGTAGTCTTTCGGTCGATTAATAGAATTATGTAGCTGGCAAATTTTCGCCTCTTAACTTCTAGTCTGAAGATCGCCTGAGCGATATTTGATGATCGTCTGGGAGCTGAACATATGGCCATTTCAAAAAAATATCAAGTCTATTGTCTAGACTCCCAGTACTAGCAAACACCTTAATAAAACGTCTTTTGATCGCTTCGAGCCGAACATTATCACTTTCGGCTCTACCGCCAAATGTGTTACCCCCACTGCACCAGCTCAAGACAATAAGCTTTTACGCAGGTCACGTGAACAACTTGTGTCCATACCAATATCAATAAAATATACAGTCAAATTTGTTGAATTGACGACAAGAGCAGCCGGGTGCAACGAGGTTGCCACGCATTTCTTACGTTTGAAGCTTGGACTCTAAGCGTCTGCGCTAACGCACAGAAGGTGAATTTTATATTCAACAGCCCAGGTGCGGAGTCAAAAGCCCTCCAAATATTGTACTTCTTTGCTCTTCTCAATTCTATAAGTGGAAAAAATAGCTTCAAGATTATTGTGATATACCTGTTTTACTGCTTACAATAATGAACAGCCCATCCTTTCTTTCAAATAGTCCTATAAGATTACCATACTAGTTCTAACCATGATACTTCATGATGGAGCCTTGGGTCTTGGTGGGAGTGTACTAAGTACACTTGATAGCGTCGCGCTTATTACACAAATGCCAGTTTTCGGTCTGTAACATAGTACATCTTAAGATTCTGGTTCATGAGATAGTGTCCTCGTCGTCATCTAAAGCTAGCCCTTTTGATTCTTTGCCTTCAGCAAGAAGAGCATACGAGGCGGAAACTCGTAGGTTACCCGTACTTTCGACGTTTGCACTGGTCCCCAGACCCTTAAAGTCGGCAACACCAGAAGCCGTATCTTGATTTAACTTCTTAAAGCTCACAATCTTTTGAGTGATAAACTCAAGAATGTGCTTTGCATCACTGCGCTCTGGATTAAGCCGTGGCATAATGCCCAGGATGTCAGCACTCTCACGCACGTAGTATTCCAAGTCTTCATCCGAGCACTTGTTGGTAAGCTGCGCAAGCCGCAGAGTCTCACTTGCAAAGTGTTCATCGAGATCAAACTGGTCTAATGCTGGTGGAGGCGGCTCACGTAGAGCAGGAGGAAATACTGCTGACTTGAGTGGTGGCAGTGGACACTCAAACTGAGGTGGAATGAGTGTAAGTGGCTCGTGTTTGACGCCAAGATCATGATATAAATTTACGGCTTCAGGAATGAGTGACGTGTCAAACTTAAAAAGCGAGTCGTCAAATAGTCGCGTAAAATCTTTAGGAAGCTCTTCACTTTCTTGCATACAAGAGCGCAGTCTGTCACTGAGAGCTTGCGTGTCAGGCAACCGGACATACTCATTCAGATCTGGATCCTCCGCATCCTGATGATTTAAATTAATGGTCTTGTCTTTCAGTAGCCAACGAAAAATAATTTCTTGAAGCTTTGCGTTTTCTTCTTTGTCGATCCACTCGTCCACAAAACACTGCGTAGATCCAAACACAATGAGCCGTCCTGATTTTGATGCAGGTGCAGCTACACCCCGTTCCTGCCACGCGGCGGCAACCGGTCTGTTCACAGGATATGAGACAGACCCCGAGGACAGTAAAGTAGCTGCTGGTTTTTTCACATTTAAAGTCGCTCCATAGGGGTAGACAAATGACAGTCCCTTTTGGTCCTTCTCGGGCGCCCCATCCGAGCCTGTCACCTTTAGATCCCGTCCTGACATCAACACATCTTTCCTGCTAAAAAGTTCGTTGGCCTATTTGGTGCAATCAAGTAGAACAAAGACATGAGACTTGTTGCTTATGCAGCAATTTCACAAGCACAGTAGTGTACCATTCGCGTCAGTTCCCTATTGACGACGCCTCTCGAAACGAGTACTTCTTTAGGGTGATGATATTTATGATAAACAGTGCGAATGACAGCGTCTGGATTCACAAAGATGCCAAAACTGTAATTGATGCCGCACAAGAAGTAAGTATTTCAAAAGTTTACTGTGATTTGCAGTGCTCTCACTCTTTAAGCCAGCCATTGAGATTCGTGTCAAATTGCTGCTCGCCGCCTTCACCCAGCATTAGCAAAATGCTTCCACCGCTGCTCAAGAAATCCTTGAGTGTCGCAAATTCCGTGGAGCTGAAGCGTTCGCGTACACCAGCGAAAACTAATACGTTAGCATCCTTAATTCGGTCCCTGGAAAGATCATCCTTGTTGACGTCCACGCGGCATAGTGGCTTAAGCCTACGCGCCAATTTCTTGAGACCGCTTGCAGGATAAAACTGCTCCTTTTTAGACGCATCAAATAGCACGGTAGATGACTTGTTGATACTTCCTACCGCGTCTTGGCGCTCCATCCCTGGACGCCTAGGACAGCAAGTGGATCTTTAACAGTCGCCGTTCGTAAACATGTGTGGCGTACCCAATATGATGGAAATCTTGTGTATAAAATTACAAGGCAGCAATCACGCGCCAGTCAGAATTGAAGGAAAAGAAGACTCGACTGATGGTTCGGGGCTTTCCATTAGGGTAGCGGGGACAGAAAGCTGACAATTGTTTGTATGTCTATTTGTGACCTAGGCGGAGTTTCGACAGGCCAAGCATACAATTATTCTGGTGCAGTACACACGCGACCCAAACTCGCGCACTTACCTCGACTTTGAGTCTGTAAACGGTGGGATGGATGGTGTGGTCAAAATGTACGAGGCCAAGCTTAAGCAGCTTAATCCAAATCTAAAGAATATCACATACGATATCCAAGATCTGTATACGTACATCGACTCGCTTACGGATCTTAGCGCGCTCGTGTTGGATCTTGAAACGAAGACGTATTTGCCCTGTGGCAAAGAGTGGATTAAGAAGAAGGTCTTCCAGGTGCTTAAGAATCAGGCGGGCTAAATCATTTACGTTTTGGATCAAAGTAAGACACAACAAACGATATAATTGCTGTTAATAGGATATTTCAAAAATTCAGGAACTCGACAAATTGGGAAGTATATTAACTATATCGCATGAGCTGGTGCCTCGACGCTTGGTACAGGTAAAAGAGCTGTACAATTACGAGAGCAGCAAGGACGATTTGTAGGAACAAAGTATGACCATTGCGCATTGATGATGATAATACCGCGATCACAACTGCTGCAATTAGTGCCCCGAGCACTCCTGTCGCTACTTCAAACGCTGTAGCGATATCCATTTCGCTTGTTTGTAGTAAAGCTGCAGTTATTTCATCACATTAAAATCGTTTTTTACCTTAAGTAACGGTACTTTTAGAAGCTGATAGAACTGAGCGTTAACATGGAGGCAAGCGCCGAGACTCCGGCGCTTGATATGGTCAAGCTTATCAGGTAAAGCAAGTGATAGTACTTTTATCTGCTCATGGTGTAGTGTCACGTGTTGCTATGATTACTTGACCACGTAAATGCATTGCTCAATAAAACAAATGTTGTTTTGCACAGCGCCGAGGGACACGAGTTGTATATAAGCAGAAAATGCGCCATGGTGTCAGGCACCATTCGTGCTATGCTTAGTGGTGCGCCATCATGTTTATAAGTCATAAAAAACTAATACACTGAAGTTTGTATAACAATTTCTGATGCAGGCCAATTTACGGAGAGTAAGGGTGAGATCACTTTTCCAGACATCAGTGCACCCATTCTGGAAAAGGTTTCCCAATACATGTACTATAAGACACAATATTCGGACAGCACATCCCGCTTGCCTGAGTTTATCATCGAGCCTGAGATCGCTATGGAGTTGCTGATGGCCGCGAATTACCTTGACTGTTGAACATCCGAATGGAACAAGCATTTAAACTTTAATACAGTCGCTTTCGTAAAGTGTTGGTGTGTCTTTTAAAAAAATTCGCATACAGACCCTTCAGTCGACAGGATTCCATGCTACTTGCCAGACAGCGAAGACGCGCACGGCTCGTATTACAGCAGACTATTTTCTTTGAGGCTTGCTTTGGCTTCATATTTTACCCGCTGTCGTGTCTGCTGTTAAGAGATAAGGTAAAGATCATCATGATGAAATGGAATTTCTTGGCTGACGATAACAATTTCGTCTGCAATAGCTTCAAGTACTCCAATACCACTCTTCATTCTCACGTGCCCTTCCTGTATTCTGCTTGATCGTGCTGATCCCAGCAGACATAGCACGATACTACTTGGGCACGCATGGCAACTTGCGATCGCAAGTGTACCCCCTCACAGCATTCATGTTTTTGTCCGCGTGTCCACTGCTTCCAGGGCTTATTTACTTAAGCCTTTTTGCTGAACACCGCATTCCATTTGATACTGCAGCCGGATTATACTCCGTCTTTTTGCTCGTCGCTGAGATTGTAGCTGGCTTTATTGTACTACGTGATCTACTCAGACAAGAGGCAGCACGATTTCTCAAGACGCGCAATTTTAATCATACAAAAGGGAATGAGGTTGATGACGATGAGCGCGCTCGATTTCTGCATTGACAAATTAGCAGACAATAATTGTGAGATTGCAACGAAGTCTCGTGTAATTATAAAGCTAAGCAATCAACGTTCAATCATTCCTTATGATGCTTGCATATTTCGCCTTAAATTATTTTAAATAGACTTTCGTTTGCGCGTCTGTTCGAGACTTGAGTGAAGTCGCGAAAGCGAGGTCAAATGTCGGGGCTTCGAAGTATGGAGACGACTCACAAGAGCACGGTGGGAGTCACTGACATCGAATAAAAAGTTGATTTTTTTATTGAGTGCAAGTTATATTTGTATGACCGCAGACAGTATTGCGTTGCAAGGTGGCTATCGTTGGAGAAGCTACTGTGGGTAAGACTGCCGTAGTACAGATTCTTAAGAGCAATGGCCACGAATTTCCAAAGAATTACGTTATGGTGCGTAAGGCATTCTTTCATTAAGTTTGATAGATAGAGATATCTTAATGTTAATTGAATCCACAGACATCAGACGTCGAGCTTTCAACAAAAAGCATTTCAATTCCGGATACAAATGTCGTTGTGGAGCTTTACCTGTTCGACTGCGCTGGACAAAGTATTTTTAACCAGCTTGATTTTGGCACGGTGCACGTACGAAGCTGTATGTGTGCAAAAGCTGATTCAATGATCTTAATGGACGAATTTTTGACCAGTACAAGGGTGCATCGATCGCTCTCGTTGTGTTTGACGTGAATAATAAAGAGTCCTTCAAGTCATGCAGCAAGTGGTATCAAGATGTTCGAGACGCCTCACCAAATCACAACATTCCTGGCATGAAAATTTGGTATTTACCTTAGACTGAGGTTTTGACAACCACGTTTAATGTTATTAGGTGTCTTGCTGGCGAACAAGACGGACCTTCGCTACAATAATCGGGACGCGATCTCAACGAAAGAGGCTGAGGAATTCGCAAAGCGCAACGATATGAAGTTTTTCGAGTGCTCAGCGGTAATTAATGTTAAAATTATGTGACATTGCTTCAAAGATGCAAAAGTCTTCATGCTGTATGTGTCATCAGCAACAAAATGCAGGGGTGGAGGCGCCTTTCGTCTATATTGCGGATTGGTTCCACAAGAAATACCAGGCAACGACGCAACGTGCGTAGAGGTTCGAATTTATAACCTTGTGCTTTAGTCTCCGATCATTACATTGTTTTGATAAGTTTTTTCCGGAATATAGTTGTTGCTCAGTAGCAAAGCATGCATTTAATGAAAAATGTCTAATGGAGTATTGAATCGCAATGTAACTAAAGACGAATTTGGTGAATCAAGCGACATGACAAGCTAAAGGAGTCGACCGATTACCACTTAACATCTGCGTTTGTTGTAAGCTGATATCTTTGTAACCAAAATATAATTTCGACAACATCCAGTGCCAGAAAAAGCAGTTTTGATACTTAAGAATCCGAATAGGTACCACTTTGGGTACGTCAACAGGTGCTAGATTGATAAGGGACAAAGAAACCTTATCGTTTGTGAAGAAAACAAACTAAAAGGTGATGATGAAATGTACGCTTGTCCTCGACTGTTTTACTTCAATATTTACCAATTATTTAACAAATAATTAATGTCAAGCAGTTTAATATATTAATAAGCAGCGTGACGAGTTTCTACGTCAATTAGAAGCCCCAATCCTACAACATGTCTAATAGTTACAAAGATGACACATGCTGCATTAATGGCAGACACGACTAGACAGCTGTTGGATCGACAATTACAAAGGAGTAAAAGTGGTGCCGCAATGGGTCCCAGTATTTCTCTATACAGTTGTATGTACAGTGCTGACCGAACTCGTCGCTCTTCAGATGGGCGCCAATCGAGATTCACTTTTAGACCTTCTACCTGTCGTTCTTCGAATGGTGTCTAGATGGTGCCTAATCAACACAATCTCTACGACTCGCTGGCCCACAAGAGCTTGACCATGCGAAATATAACGGATCATACATGCGAGTACGGCCTTGCCCGAACAGATGACGGCTGCGTGCGCACGCTGTCTTCGTACGACATCGATGCGTACTTTTACACTCAAATCATTTTTCTCGTTCTCGGAATCGTGACAACAATTGCAAGCGCCATTATGTACTTCCGGGCAATTAAGCATGAGGCGTCTAAGCTTCAGCAACACAATTTTATCCTCTGCTGCTATGCATCATTGACAATGGTATTGACCGGTGCCGATCCCAAAAGTTATGGTCATGTTATACCTCGCCCCATCAGCAGCTTCCTGTCCGACTCACTCACTGCCGCTCTCTACTCTGTATAGTAAGTTGTCTTGACTTGATCAAATGCTTGTGCTTTTCTAACTCGTCCTCGATATCACTGTGTCTAGCATTCTTACTCTTGGGTATTGGGCTACAATAATTCGCAAAGGTGCTGCTATGGGCGACAAACCAGGTCAACTCATCTTTCTCGAGCGAATTGCCATCGCACTTGTCTGGGGATTCTACATTCTCTACAATGCATCTCTCTTCTTGTCTAAAGGATATTCTCGCACTGGCATCACGTATCTTCATTTGCTATGGAGTGCTGTGATGTTAACTATTATCAGCACCGTTTTTCTAACGTATGGACTGCGCGTGTTGTCGCGCCTCATGTCTTACGAACGTGATATCAAGCTACAGGTGTCTACTAGGATAACAGATCGAGTAATTAATCACTCATACGATATGGGACATCCAGTTGAAGACGAAGAGAAAACCCCGAGGCCACCGAAGCCACAAAAAGGACATTCAGCCAAGATTCGCAAAATTCTTTTAGTGACGGAGATGCTTTCGCTCACAGTTGTCGCCGCACAAATTTTTATGGCTGTCATGCACACAGCAAACGAGTCCGATGAACTTCAGTGTGCCAATGGTATTGGATGCGAGTCGATCAAATCGAAAATTAGCTGCTTGAACATCCTTCAAGCGATTTGTGTATGGGCTGTACTGTGGACCTTCCGCGCCATCAAAAAGAAAGATGTGATTCCTCGGCCTCCAACGCATGTCATGGCGTAGGGATTGCTACCACTTCAGCGAAATGTGCGGCATGACATGTTTAAAATACATGCGTTAAGTAATATGAATAGGCACATCTAGCGTGTCTTCGATGTATAGTAAATTTATGTAAACAGCGTAGTTTTGTCGCGGTCACAGGACGTACTTGTAGAGCTATCTAACTTCAAAGTAAAGTCGCTTGAAGTGCGCTCTTTTGATTCGGATACATATCGTTTGCAATATTCTATTATACATGACACTTTAGCACGTATTTAAAGTGAACGAGATCGGGACGCGGCAATTCCTGACTACGGATGAGAAAAAATGAAATTCCCGCAGGCGCAGTTCGTATGCCTTTTGAGAATATAGCAGCCCGCGTCTAGCTCAGACTTTTCCTCCCCAGAATATTTTATCATATTCATAAATACCGATTAGTAACCCACAATTACACAAAGATGCAATGCAAATTTCGTACAATTGCGAGCATTAACTGTAATCTTTTGCTAACATATTCATAAATAACTATTAGTAACCCACAATTACACAAAGATGCAATATGAATTTCGTACAATTGTGAGCATTAAATGTAATCTTTTGTAGTTCACTTGTAACAATCGTATTCATTACAATGCGGTACGATTGCACAAAATTCACATTGCAGTTTGTGCGATCATAAGCAAGTAATGGTATATTTGCAGATCATGGAATTCGTATTCCATGGTATGCGTGGGCTGCTAACCGCACATCAGACAATAAATACAGTTATATTACAGGGAACAGTATAAAAAGAAGGTCTTAAACGACTTTATCCTATATATGCATGTACTTTTGAAGCTGCAGAGCGAAATACAGTGTTGGTAGTAGCGCTTTTCTGTGCGTCTGTCAATACGAAGTTTAATAAAAGCTCTTTATTCGCAACGAAAATGGCAACCCCGTTGCAGTTGGTACCACTTATAATATATCCGCGATCGAGACGCGAAAGAACTCTATCCTCTTGAAGGATGTATAGTGAAACTCTCGAGTACACGTCCGGAAAGAAGACCTGCTTAATAAGGTATTATGTGTCCTGGATTCTGATGGCATAATAAAACTGGTAGCCAAATATTTGGGCGGTAACAGCTCGCCAGCTGGTGCTTACCAGAACAAAAATTGCGCTGACAAGAGACATCCAGGAGAATCGCAACCGAGCGCAAGAAGAGGAACAGATGACTCCACTTGAATGACTGCAATTTTGAGTGCCCAGTCACCGAGGGAGGGACGAAAAAAATCCTTCATCTGGTTAAGATGAACATAAATTCGGCCATATTTAAACGGAGCAACAGTGCGTCAACTTTGAGATCTTCAAGCAAAACGAGACCACAAGCGAAATTGGGCTTTATCCTACAGTCTCTCCGCGATGAAGGCGCGCCTAACGTAGAAAGACTTGAAGGACACATGTCACAGATTTTTAAACTGACTAATTTGGCGGCTCGACCGCTGTTAAAATTATTGTCTACCCACCAGAGTAATCGAAACTAATAGACTTTTGTCCAGAATATAAGAGATCTTACTGCTGCGATGGCGTTCAACCCACTCCTGAGACGGTAACGTTACCGTCTTTCTGGAGCGTTTAAGCCAGGTGCGGTTCGCATCGAGATCTGATGCGTCAACCCTTTCGACGAAGTAGTGGGTGTCGCATAAATTACTGAGTATAATTCCTGTCTCCGAGGGCCAAACTGGGTACTGACAGTGGAAGCATAAAGCGCGCAACAAAGGCGACGAACTAAATGTAAGACGGCGCTGTTCATAAATAGTCTCTCAAACACAACACACACGCTTGTGCGACGAGAAAAGCGATTTCTGACGTGAAGGGAGAAGAACTGTCCCGACTTTTAGGAAAGAAGAACGACTTTAGACCTTATAGATAAATTCGCAGCTTAATTAAATTAAATTATGGTCCCTAGCTACATACAAAACACCCCAAGGACTCCTAGAGATTCTAATAATAAAACCTTGAGATCCCAAAATTATTGGTACTGAGGCAGATCTTCAGATGTAAATGATACAAGATCTTGGGTGTACAGAGCTTTAACTTTAACAGCTTACACTTCAACTTTCGTGGGTAGTATCTAGTAGAAGTGACTGGCTTGGGCCACCCACTTCTAAAGACAGAGACACGCCGGTCTTAACACCATTACAGACCTCCAAGCAGAGACCAGCATTCTGTATCACACAGAATGTTCATGACTTCAAATACGGAATCACGTATGCATTTCGGAACACCATACTGAAATCTTCTTATATTAATTTTCACAATGCATACACATGTAATGCCTAAGTTTAGCCCACTCCACTTGAAATATGTATAGAGAAGATATATATACATCTAAGCTGCTGAACAGCTCCGCGGTAACCGCCGATGAGTCATCTGCGATAGTACAAACATTTGCGCCTTGCGTACTCATTTCTTTCTTGGCTGAGAGGTATGACGGGTCAGGCTTCTGTGCATACGCGTACGACAATTATATCGCGGGTAATTGTCAAGTCCCGGTAGATGCAAGCAAATTTTTTGAGAAAGTAATTTTGTACCTCATGGACGACGTGAATCGTGGATTCCAGTCCCAAAGTATTGAGCTTCTCTTAACCAGGGGGGGCTCGCTACCCAGGGTTTAGGCTAGTAATATAGCTTTTTAGCTTTGTGAACTCGCGAAAAGTATTGGTAGATTTAGGAGTGTCATGTATTCACGATGGTCAGAACGATGGACAATATGTGGAGACCCTGTCCGAAAACGAAATCTGTGAGGCTTGCAACGTTAACATTGGTAAAGCGTCGAAGATTTTCTATATTTTATGTATGATTTGAAGATTTTGATATCGAAGAACATTGTCGAATCATGTACCTCGATTCGAGATGTGATCTCGTTTAAGGTATGGGAGTGGCTGTCACGCCTCCATCCATGGGTCAACTAAATGTAAAAAAACGCTAGGAGACACGCACTTCTCTCCAGGTGGGTTTTGATAAGTTATAAGCCTTACCCTGTTAGTGAACACATATGCTCTCGGTGTCGACGCGAAGCTGAGATAGTCTTCGAACAGGATGCGGGATTGTCCCTATTTGCTAGCCATTATGTTGCTAGAGTTTCCTCAGTAAGTGTGTGTACACAAGCGGGTACTCCTGTTACACTTTGTGACACTAATAGTCATTGCAACGTCGACTACTTCGATGAATTTATCTATGAATAACGTGGACATAGTCGGCCTCAGATTAAATGGGAGATATTTTAGGTCCTCACACACTCGCATTGGGGGTGTCTGCTGAAGCCTCGAGTTTTGATCGGAATTCCGCGGTACCGACATGCTCCAACTGGATCAAGAAGCGATAACCAACCGCTTTGTAAATTTTGCTGCGTTTGAGCAGAGAATATTGGAATTCTTATCCCAGAACACACCGACGCCAGTTCCCGTCCCTCAATATAAGTTCTTGGTCCATCGGTGGATCCGACGAAAGCAGTAGCTGCTACTACTGGAAGTCCAGAACCAGTGGATCTGAAGCTATGACTGTCCGTAGGTAGCAGATTTGCTGTTATGGATGTAAGCAATCTGGTCACATCCGCAGTGATTTTCCACGTGGGAGACGAAATTCTCAATAGGGCTTTTGTTCTAGTACGCAATACCAATGTCACGAGGCGTTCGGAAGACGCTGGTACCCAGTAGACGACCGCCCTGCGTCTACTGGGGCAGTTATACACTCTTGCGAGTTTGGTGGTAGAATCATTCGTGAGGATTTAGTTCCTGATAGATCGTTGTTCGTTAATCGTTAACGACACGAGTATAAATAGTCTCTTTGTGGTCACAGCGAGTTTGAAGGGCTACATTTGTCGTCAATGAGTCTTGATTGACTCTGGCGCGTCGCGTAAGTACACGTGGAAGCAATGACTTATCTCAGTGAACTTGGCCATTAGTGCGGTGGTCACCGCGACCAAAAGTATGGATAATTTTCAATTGAAGTCTGAAGACTTCGACTCGAACAAAGTATTCGCAGTCCTGGAGATGGAAAACCGGCACGACCTGATTCTGGGTATCCCGTGGCTTGAGAAGCATGAGCCATGGATCGATTGGCGATCGAAAACGATTGGGAGTAGCTTTTCTGGCGTCGGTGAATGATGGACCCACATTTCTTATGCGCCAAAAGAAGAGCTTAAGCGGTCGGCGGTCGTATGCTACTGATAATGATCCACACTTCATTGGTATGTGTCATGAAATCGACATTCCCCAGGTTAGTAAAAATACGTAGCCGTATGAATTGACCACTGATCACCACTCAGGCAGTGTGTCGATAGGACAAGTGGTGCCCGGTACTGGGCCCTCGTAATCGAATGAATCGTAGGTGGCATGGCGTTGGGCTCTACGGAAATAAAATTTATGAGCGAGAGATGCCGGTTGCTGCCCCCTAGATACAAAAGAATATTGTAGACATGTGTGTACTAGAATGTCGAAGGAATCGACTGTGGTTGGGTTTGCCAATATTTGTGTACAACTGACTACAAAGGAGACGCTTCCACCCGTTCTGTGGTTGAGCATACACATGTGAAGTATCAACGGAATTTGTCGATCGCGGTTATGATACTCCAGCTCTGGATTCGATTGAGTCCGCGGGTGAGATAGTCCAGCGTACTACTCCACATGAAGGAAATGTAGCATGTAGATATGCTGTTCCACGTATTGCGGATGCAACGACTGGCTGTGGAGTTACAAAAACAGAAGATCTTGTGGCATCGTTGCCGAGATGGAAGAGCTGGTGCAGCACGAGGAAGTCACTTACGATGACTTTCGATACGACCTCAAGTGTGATGGTATTGCGGAGGTCACGTTGCTACAGAGAAGAGAAGTACGAACCCGGCCCTTGGTTTCCCACCCGAACGTGGAGCTCGACACGAAATTGATCGTGAACCTGGTCCAAAGCATGCAGTGCTTCGACAGTGGCCACTGTCACGTGAGCAAAGTGAGTATATTGATGAGTTCGTTGCATTAAAAAAACAAGC